GTTTCCCTCCGCCGCTGACTCATTGTGTCCTTTCCTGCTGTTGCTAAATCCACTTCCTCTCCCAGCTGAGGAGGGATCCTGACACAATAAATCCCAAATAAATAAATCACGGCACAGCCCCAGGGGAAGGCTGTGTGGCCAGGAGCAGGGGCTGAGCTGGGATTTGTCACGAGTCCCCTGCCGGCTGTGACAATCCTGCAGGGCCCTGTCCTCACCCTGCGGGGATGTCCCCATGTCCCCTCCTGGCTCAGCCCGCTCCTGCTGTGCCCACCCCTGCGAAGTGACCCCAGAGCCACCCCTGAAGGGGAGGAAGTGACACAACCCTAAAAATAGAAATAGAATTAAATATTCTCCAGCCTTGTCAGCCACAGCTTTTAGGATATTTTATCCCCTGTGCCAGCTTTCAGCTCACCTCTGCCCTGCCCTCCAGGGCTCTGCAGAGGGACCCTCCCTGAGCTGATCCCACAGAGTTGATCCCAGCCTCCAGGGACAAACCCTGCACCCAGGAGCTGTTCCAGGCCGCGGGAGAAGCCCCAAAGCTGGCTAAGCAGCAAGCTGGGAGCCCCTGGAGCCATGGAGGGGGCACATTTGGGGCCCTCCTCAGTGCCAGCACCTTGGGATGGGCACCTCCCTGCTGGAAAAAGCTGATATATTTCTGGGCTATCAAAAGGGAAATGAATTCAGGGATTCTCTCAGCACAGGGAACAAATCCTCTGGTGTTCAGCCCCTTCCCCACGGGCTGAACCCATGGCCACCATTGTCCCTCTGCTTGGAACATCCCAAAAAAGGGCTCCATGTGCCCCAGGAATGCAGATCCCTCTCCCTCTGGAGGGGGAAGAACCTGATTTCCTTTTTCCAGCAGTAAGGGAAAGCTCAGAGCAGCAAACTCTGGAGCAGGACAGGTTCTGGGGGGTCCCTGGAATGGGAGCACACAGAGCCAGCACTGCCAGGAACACCAGGATGGGCATGGAAGGGTGGAAACCACCCCTGAGGGAGGCAGGAGATGGGGCACAGCGAGTGTGGGGTGCTTGGAACACGCCTCCATGGCTCCAGGACAAGAAGGCAGCAGAATTCCCCTTTCCTGAGCATAAAAGCATCACTGGAGCCAGTGAAATCCCCCTCAGGGCTGGGGTGTGCTCCGGAGGGGGAGGAATTCCCCCTTCCTGCTGGGATCAGCTCCCAGACACCCTGGATCTCAGGGGAGGAGAGGAAGCCCTGAATTCCCAGCAGAGTTCAAGAAAAGCTCTCCAAGCTGCCAAAACCATGGGCATGGAGCACTCAGGGACGGAGGTAAATTCCAGGATCTTGGAATGTCAAGTTGTCAGAACTATCAGGGAGAGATTCTTCACAAGAGGATGGGGTGACAGAACCAGGGGAAATGGTTTGAAACTGAAAGAGGGCAGGGATGGATGGGATATTGGGAAAGAATTCCTCCCAGGGAGGGTGGGGAAGCCGTGGAATGGATTTCCAGAGCAGCTGTGGCTGCCCCTGGATCCCTGGCAGTGCCCAAGGCCAGCTTGGAGCAGCCTGGGATAGTGGGAGGTGTCCCTGCCCATGGGAGGGGTTTTAAGGCCCCTTCCAATCCAAATTATTCTGTCACTCTGTGATTCCATGCCACAAACCCTCCATTTTATTGCGAGGTTTATTGGAATAAAGCTCTCCCACCAGTCCCTTCCCAGCACAAGGCTCTTGCAAGTTTATAAAATTTAGGGATGAGCTGACCCCAAGGCCTCCCTCTGGTGATGCTTCCCTGAGCTTCAGCACACTCCTCGTGCTTTTCCAGCACTTGGCAGAGCCTTTTTTTGGGATTCCTGTCTGAAGGAGGCCCCAGGGCTCCCTGACAAAGGCTCTGTTTTATTGTCACCGCTGTGGGACGTGGGGCAGTGCCACGGAGCCTCCCCAGCTGTGCCAGCCTGGAGCATTCTCCATGGGAAGAGGCCAGGCCAGCAGCTCTCCAGCTTCTCCACACTGGATTTTCATGGAATCTGAGGTTTTCCCCAAGGCCTGTCCCTTGGAGTTTTATTTTGACACCAGAATTTGCACTCACTTTAAGGAAAAAGATTATGCCAGCTCCAAACTCCTCCTGAGATCAAACTGAAGGAATCTCATGAAGTCTCCAATTATTTTGTGAATTTTATGGAATAATTCCAGGTTTCTCTGGGATGCTGGGAGTGGTGGGGGGCATCCAGCCCTGCCTGGTTCATCCCTGGCACTTCCAGCCTGATCCAAAGTGGCACCAGCACGTTCCCAGTGCACAGGAGCAGCAGCACCTCCCTGGCACAGGGTTTGCCAACAGATCCCTCCCAAAAACAGCCAAATAAAGTCAATCCCAATGCCTGGACACATCCCACATCCCTGAAAAACCCACCAGGCTCCACCACTGCACCACCTCAGAGGTGATCTCTAAGCCAATAAAATCTCTTTTCTCCTCAGATCTCTCTTTAATTTTCCTCGCACGTGTGGAGCCTGGAACCATCTCCAGAGCTCTGGTGCCAGCAGATAGCTCAGCCCTGCCTGGTGCCAAAACACGGAGCCAAATCCTGTTCCCAGGGGCAACTGGGAGGCTCCTGCCTCAGCCACGGGCACCGGGTGCCCCTGAATTCTCTGCTTTTAATCAGAAATTCAAAAATCCGTGATGTAGACACATCACCCACTTGTACAGCGATGGTATAAAAATGGATTAAAGCAGGAGGAGGCCGAGGAGCCCAGCACTGCTCCGTGGAGCTGTCAGGCCCTGCTGAAAATACAGATTTACAAAGCAAACCGAAGGCCTGGCTGAGGCTGAGGGCCAGTAAAGCCCAGCTGAACCACGCAGCAGAATAAAACCTTTATTTCTGGGCTGAAGCCTGGATTTGCACGCTGGATTTTTATTCCATGTGGACTCAGGAGCTCACAAAACATCACTCAGCCAAGCTTTTCCTGGTCAGACTGCAGGAGGAACTATGGAGCCCTAAATAAAACGTTTGCTATAGGGAAACAAACTGGAATAAATAAGAAGCATAATTAAGAGAGAAACCCACAGCACGGAGAGTGGCAGCCTCCAGCCTGGTTCCAGGATGCATCCATGGAAAAGGTGGCAGATGCTGGGGTCTACAGACCATGGAAGAGCCACTTTAAATTCCAGAAATTCACCTGACAGCCACATCCAAACCCCAGGAGAGCCCAGGGCCACCTGCACTTCCCAGCCCAGCAGTGACAGCTCACCCTGGGGGAATCAGGGATTTCAGGAATATCCTTTTCCTCAGCACCTGCCCCATCCCAGCTCCCTCCCTGCCATGGACTTGGTGGCCCAGCCGTGACCTGGGCACGTCAAAAGTTTTTCTGCTGGAATTCTCCAAAACAAACCCATTTTTAAGTTTTCCCAAGTGCTGACTTGTTCCTCTCTTTGATTTATTTTTAGTTTCTTTAACAGCTCCAAAAAAAGGGGTGTGGGGAAGGAGCAGAGCAAACACTGCCACCCCCTCCCCCGGGCAGCCACCAAAATCCCATCACTGCTGGCTTCCAGCGTGATCCCAAAGCCCGGGATTGGCGTCCACAAAAGGATTAAAGCTCGGCCTGTGGGTTAATGGGGTTGGGAGGGGCTGGGCTTGCTCTTAATCTCTGCAGCACCCTAGGAAGGTTTGGAAACACACTTAAATTGAAAAGATGCTTCCCTGGATTTTTTTTTTCCTAGGATCTGGGTGGTTTCTGGCTGGTTTCCCTCTAATATTTATGGGTTTGGAGGAGAGGAATCAATCCGTAAAGGAGCAGGGGATGGAAGCAGGGAAAGGCGGCAGCGTGGCGCAGTAACACCCAGGGATTTTAGCCAGGCCCGTGCCGCAGCTCGGCATCACCATCACCATCATCATCATCACCATCATCATCCCACCCCCCGGAGCTCTTCCAGCCGGGAAACAATGCCCAACCTTTAACCCGTGCGTTCCTGAGTATGCTGGGAAAACATCCGCTGCTCCCAAACAATGGCACCATTTATCCCGGCTGTCCAGAGCAACAGGCTCGGAGCTGCAGGGAAATCAAAGGGCTGAGGAAAAAAAAAAAAAAAAAAAACCGAAAAAAAAACCCCCAGGATATTTTTTCCAAAGAGGTTAAAAATAGAAATTCACTTCCAGAATTGCTAGACTGAAAATATTCCGTGAAAAATCATTTCAGCTCCTGTCTGTTTCGTGTCTTTTCCCTTCGTGAGATATTTTGCATCTGAGATATTTTGTTGGAAAACACGGCCTGAAGTTGGAATGAAACACGGGAATGGAGGCAAAACAAGGAAGGGGCGCTGGCCTGGGCAAGGCCCTGCTTGCTGAGGGTCCAGTTCTGGGGATGTTTGGGAATGGGGGCTTTCCAAAACACCCTCAGTGCACGTAAGCAGAGGCATTCCTCAGCATCGCCGTGCCAGAGGGACAGGTGTTGGTGCATTCAATAATCCGCCCGTGCCATCGAGCCCCTAAATGTGTCATCGAGCCCCTAATTGAGCCATCGAGCCCCTAACTGAGACATGGAGCCCCTAAATGTGTCACCGAGCCCCTAACTGAGCCATGGATCCCCTAATTGAGCCATGGAGTCACCAGAGAGCTGCTTCCTGTGCAGGTGCACCCACAGCACCCATCCTCTCTCCCCTCCTCTCTCCAGAGGGAAATGAAGCCCCAAGCCCAGCCCAGCTCCCAAATTCCCCACTGAATTAACCCCGCTGTTCCCCAAAGGCGGGGACCCCCGGGGCTGGGGGCGGCCGGGATGCGCGCTCACAAACACCGCCATCGCCGGTGCCTGCGGAACCAGGAGCAGACCGCAGCCTGTGAATCACCACCCTGCGCTCGCAGAAACGTGGGAAGCGCAGGAAATGCTCTAAAAAAGACATCCCTGCGCTGCGGCAGCTCCGGGACTGCCATCCCGCGGCTCTCTCGCTCCCAGGAAGGGGTTTTATCCCGGCAGGAAGGCAGTGGGATGCAGGCAGAGGGATGTGGGCATCCCCGGCCCCGCTGTGCCCCCGAACATCACATGGCGAGCACAAAAGCCCCGGGGCTGCTCTGCCTGCCGAGCCCCGGGGTGCTCGGAGCGAACCCCAGGGTGCTCGGAGCGAACCCCGGGGTGCTCTGAGCGAACCCCGGGATGCTCGGAGCGAACCCCAGGGTGCTCGGAGCGAGCCCCGGGATGCTCGGAGCGAACCCCGGGATGCTCGGAGCGAACCCCAGGGTGCTCGGAGCGAACCCCGGGGTGCTCTGAGCGAACCCCGGGATGCTCGGAGCGAACCCCGGGGTGCTCGGAGCGAACCCCGGGGTGCTCTGAGCGAACCCCGGGATGCTCGGAGCGAACCCCAGGGTGCTCGGAGCGAACCCCGGGGTGCTCGGAGCGAACCCCGGGATGCTTGGAGCGAACCCCGGGATGCTCGGAGCGAACACCGGGGTGCTCGGAGCGAACCCCAGGGTGCTCGGAGCGAACACCGGGGTGCTCGGAGCGAACCCCAGGGTGCTCGGAGCGAAACCCAGGGTGCTCGGAGCGAACCCCGGGATGCTCGGTCCAAAGCCGAAGCCGCGGCCCCGCGCTGCCGCAGCCCCGGGGGCGGCACAGACCGGGGCTGGCTCCGGCCGGGGGTGGCCCGGGGCTGCCCGGAGCTGCCCGGGGCTGGGGGCCAGGCCGCGCTCCCCCTCACCTGGTAGGAGCAGTTTTCCTGGTGAACCATCTCGGTGCATCATCCGCCGCTGCCGCCCCGCCGGCAGCGCCCGCAGCCGCCGCGGCCCCGGCGGGGGAGGAGGAGGAGGCTGGGGAGGAGGAGGAGGATGGGGAGAAGGCAGCAGCAGCAGGAGGAGGAGGAGGCAGCCCGGGAAGATGGATGCGGCCGCGCTGCTCCGCCTGCGCAGCGGCGGCCCCGGGAGCGCGGGGGGGCCGGGCCGGGGCCGCCTCCGCCCGCTCCGCGCCGGGCTCCGGGCGGGGCCGCGCTCCCCTCCAGGAGGGGGAAAAAAATCCCTCAAAGCCCGTCTGGACACGGGGAGGCTCCCCCGGGCCCGGCGGTGCGGCTGCAGGTCCGAGTCCCCCGAGCCCCCCGGGACCGGCCCGGCGGGGGATGGAGCGCGGCCCCGGGGCACCCCAAAGCAGCCGGCCCTGAAATAGCAGCTCCAGACACCTTCCTTGTGCCTGCTGCCTCGGAAATCCCGCGCGGGAATTTCTGGGAGAGGCTGTGCCCTACATTCCCGGTTATTTTTACCTCCTGCAGGCGGCAGGGAGGGAGCGGAGCTCGGCCCCAGCGCCCACCTGGCCCCGGAGGTTTGGGGTAGGGAAAGCCAGGGGACACGGGGAAAGGGGCAGGATGAACATTCCTGCACCGAAAGGGTGCGTTAAGCACGGGAAGGAAGGTGGGTTAAACACGGGAAGGGGCTGCCCAGAGCAGTGGTGGAGTCACATCCCTGGAAAGGTTCAAAAAACGAGTGGATGGGAATGAACCTGAACCACTCGGGAATGTGGCTCAGTGAGCACTGGGTGATCTTGGGGGTCTTTTCCAACCACAACACCAACACCAACAGCCTCATTTACAGAGTCTGGCTCTGTGGCTGGAGGGTGAGGGCACAACAAATGTCATTTTCAATCCTTTTTTGGTCTGGACACAGCTCATGCAAGGGGCACTAAAACACCCAGGGAGCGACAATGGGGTCACAGGCTGGGCTCACACCACGGCCCGGGCACTCCCAGCCAGGCAGGGAACAGCAGAAATTCCATCCTTCCCTCCTTTCCAAACAGGGATTTATCCTGCTCCTAGGCCCAGCTGTTCAGGGATTCACATGATTAAATCCAGGAACACTTGCTCAGGGCAGCTCGGATTTGTTTCCCCCACACCAGATGTGCCTCTAGAAAAAAAAAAAGACCTTTGTGGGATCATCACCCTGCCCCAGCTTTCCCAGCTTCCCACCAGCACAGACAGGCTGGAGCAGCTGTGGGAGGATGGATGGAGAATCCCTGGAGGCCCTGTGCAGCTGGGGCATGGATGGACACAACCCCCAGACCCTCCTCCCCAGTGCTCTCTCTCCCCTGCAGCAGTAGAGCTTAAAAAAAAAAATAAAATAAAGAGACTTCATTTAAAAAGAAAAAAAAATAATATATTCTGCATAAATTTTTAAGAGAGCATGAAGTCATCCTTGGTTTTTCCTGGATCTGCAGAGAATCCCATTCATGCAGACATCAAAATAAAAGTCCATCCAAATAAACCATCCCCACTCTGCAATTTGCTGCATAACCTTGGCTTTGTTTGGAGAAGGATCTGTGGCAAGCTAAAAGTGGCTCCACACATTACATAAACTCAAATTCCATTTATTCTGTGCATCACAAGGAAAACTCCCAATCCCTCCCCTCAATGGCACCACACAGGCTTCGTTTTCAGTGGGACAATTTCTAAAGCTGGATCAGAAGTGCTCCAAAGGGAATTTTGAGGAGCTGATGGTGAGGTCTGAGCCCACCAAGGATTCACTGCTGGGAACGGAGAAGGTCCAGCAGTGACCCAAAGTTTGGTGCCGACCTCCCCATTCCCAGGGCTGGAATGGATCCCCCAGGAATCAAAAAATGTGGAAAAATAATCCCAGAGAGAGCCAGGTTCACCTGCTGCAGCACTCGCTCCCAGGCAGGCTCTGCCCCCAAAATATGCAGCCAGCCATGGAGGTGGGAAAGGCCAGGAATTATCCCTGACTCTGGATTTGCTCCAGAGGTGGAAAAGGCCGGGAAGGAGGTGGGAAAGGCCAGGAATTATCCCTGACTCTGGATTTGCTCCTCTGCTCCAGCCCCATCTGCATTCCCCGGCAGGAAGGAAGGAGGTGGGCAGGCAGGTAATGATTAAAGCTGAGAGGGATTAAAGGGAGGGAAAGGCTCCTGGCAGCTTTCCAGCTGGGTCAGCGGGAGGCAGCGATGCTCTTGGATGAGGATGAACACGGGCTGCTGCTTCCCACGGAGCCACAATCCAGGGAGCAGCTCCTGGGACCCCCACCCCCCCCTTTTCACTGGGAAAAGAAACCCAGGGGCGCCTGCCCTGCCTGGTCTGCATTTCCTAACGAGGCACCCCTAATTTAAGGTGTCAGACACCACTTGGGAGATGATCCAGAGAAGTTTTCCCAAAGCTTTCCCCAAACCAGCTTTGGATTAGGAATGTGTGGCTCGGGAATCCCTGGAGAGCATCTCCAGAGGGGCTGACGTGTGAAACCCTGCCCTCCAAACCAGGGCTGGGCTCCCAGTCCAGAGGGATTGGGAAGGTGCTGCTCCTGGCAGGGCATGCCCTGGAGGTGAGGTGGGCACCAGGAATGAGCCAGGCCCGATTCCTGCATGCCCACAGGGCCTCAGGACACGGGACATGTCCTGTGTCCATCCATGTCATCCTGTGTCAATCCATGGCACAGGCAGCACAGACACGCAGGGAAAGAAACCTCAGCTTCACCAGACGCCCAAATTCTGCCGGTGAGACAATGGAATTGCCTTAATTATTCCTCTGCAGAAGGAGGAAATGATAGAGGAAATATTAGAAATATAGAAATTATAGAAAAAAATTAGAAAAATAGAAATTATTTTCCTCTACAGAAGAAGGAAACACCTGGTATCCCCAATTCTGGGAGATAAGAGAGAATGTCTGCTTCTGGGCTTGTATTTTTAGGGGTTTTTTTCCATTCTTTGCCTTGTCCCAGGGAATTCCCAGGCTTTCTGCTTTCCCTGGCTGCCCCAGCTCCAAGGAAATCATTAACAGGCGGAGGGAGGAGCACAGGGAGGTTATCGGCTCTCCCATCCTCATTCCCGCTGGGAAAACGCTCCTTCAAAGGGATAAAGGCGGCCAGGGAAGCCGATCCCTCCCATTCCCGGTGCTGGGAGCCGTGGGAAGGAGGGAGGGAGGGAAGGATGCCGGGTTATTACTCACAGCAAAGCCACATCCAGCCCTTTTCCCGGCGTTTTTGGCATTTCCCACATTTATTTTTACACACTCGTGTCGTGCTCTGATCAAGCCCAGCTGCAAGGGCTTCACCCACAAACCTTTGGAATGGGAAGGGAAAGAAGCAGGAGCAGCAGCAAGGCAGCCCAGACATGGAATTCCTGCTGGACACACCAGGAATGTTTTCCTGCCCACAGGCATTCCCAGAGGGGCCTTATCAGGTGGGAAGGTTTATTTTCCAGGCTGGTGTTGGCCAACCCACCCCGCTGATACAAAAGCCAGGCTCAATAAGTGATTTTTTTTATTTTTTTTTTTTTCAAATCCCAAAATAAATACACAGCTGGAGTGTGGAGCAGGTGAAAATCAGGGAGGAGTTCAAGAGCTGGGAATGTTTAATCTCAGTTTTTAGAGAATTGCAGGATCCATGAATGGCTTGGTTTGGAAGGAATTTAAAGCCCATCCAGCCCCACCCCTGCCATGGGCAGGGACACCTTCCCCTGTCCCAGACTGCTCCAAGCCCTGTCCAGCCTGGCCTTGGGCACTGCCAGGGATCTAGGGGCATCCTTGGGAAAATTCATTTCAGCCCCTCCCACCCTCCCAGCCAAGAATTCCTTCCCAGTATCCCATCTAACCCTGGCAGTGGAGTCATTCCCTGTGTCCTGTCCCTCGATCCTTGTCCCCAGTCCCTCTCCAGCTCTCCTGCAGCCCCTTCAGGCTCTGAGCTCTCCCTGGATCCTTCTCCTCTCCAGGTGAACATTCCCATCTCTCCCAGCCTGGCTCCAGAGGTGCTCCAGCCCACGGAACCCTTTGGGATGATGATCCTCAGGGAATCTCCCACCACAGGGAGAGAGACAGGGACCCAGCCCAGCCCCCAGCACTCCAGGATGCTCCTGCTGGGCTCCCAAAGGCTTCCCAAGCACAGCAAGCTTGTATGGAAGCAGGAATTATATCCAGCATCCCGGGATTTCAGCTCTATTTGCTGATGATTTCCTGGGAGTGAGGGATTTAGCTCCTCTTTAAGCCCAGTTAAGCTTTCCATGGGTTTAAATCCAGCAAGAAAAATAAAGAAAAAAGCGATTATTTTTAATCAGTTAATACTCGACATCTGTTGGAAAGGGGAGTATTTGTTTGGATTACATCCACGGATAATGCTCTGCACTATTCCTTTTTTACTGAAGGAAGGTGATGCCCAGGGCTTTTCCCTCATTTTGGATGTGTTACTCTGCTCCAGGTGGGAATAAACCTCCAGCAGGTTAAGGACCCAATGTCCTTCCCTTTTCCAAGCCTTTTTTACTTCCCTGGAACTTTCTGGAGTCCTTTACAAGCAGCACCTTTACAACCCCACCTGCAGCACCAGAGATGGGTTTGGGATAAAAACACACAACCCAACCAGGATTTTCCCTTCCCTAAAAACCTGGAGCAGAAGGATACAGCAATTCCCCACCCTGATTCAAACACTTCACAGGGAATTGCAGGGACTCATTTAAGCCACCCAAGTATTTATAACTCTCCAGTGATATAAAAGCCACCAAACATATGGAAAACAAGCAGATTTTTCCATGGAAGCCGTCCAGGAAGGCTCAATGGTACCACACAGGCTTCGTTTTCAGTGGGACAATTTCTAAAGCTGGATCAGAAGTGCTTAAAAGGGAATTTTGAGGAGCTCTGATGGTGAGGTCTGAGCCCACCAAGGCTTCACTGCTGGGAATGGGGAAGGGAAGGATCCAGG